CCCCAAAACCCCAAAACCCCAAAACCCCAAAACCCCAAAATTCGCCTATGAAATTGAATAAATATGTTAAACAGTCAAGAGTCAATCACCTGGCTTCAAAAGCGCTTTCAAAGGTCAGCCAAGGTTGAGTATCTCCACACGAGGGAGCAGCTTGAATCCCACTATGAAATAGAAAGATGATTCAACAAATTTGATGAAGACAAATCTGGGACATTAGACTTCGCTGAAATCGAAGAGATGTTTAAGAGTGTTGGAATATATATCAACCGGAAGTAACCTCAACCTTAACTTCTATAGAGACTTGCATTCAATATTCTCTTCATTTCTGCCATATAAGAAGGAGCAGCTTGACTTCAAAGAATTCAAGAGTTTTATTCTTTCAGAAGATGGCAATAAAGCATTTCGAAAAATAATTCAGAAATACCATAAACAAGATAGGCATCTGAAGAAGATCAAGGATGGAGCAATCAAGGCTGAGCAATTCTTCGTGCCTTACGACTTTAAATCCCTTCTTGAGTTTGTAGACCTCAAGATTAGGAGGGAAAGCGCTATTGAGAAGATATTTAAGGATGATGCTGAGAATACTGACTTTAATTTTCGGACACTTTTTGAATTGAACCAGATGAACCAAAAAGGTCAGACAAATATTCGAAACAAGTTTCTAAAAACTATTTTGAATTAAAACCTCGGATACAGAAGATGGAAAGTCATCCATGAAGCCTAGTATGATGAACAACAAGGCTTCTAGGAGGTATAATGCCTTCAACTCGATTCCTAGCAAGGTCTTGTTAAGGAAAGAGAAACAGAAGTTAGAACAATTGATTCAAAATGCAAAAGAAAGAGGGCGACAATTGGCAAAACAAGAGTGGAATACCATATGCCAAGCCAGGGCTGCATCCCACTCACAAGGGAAGAAGACTAAAGGGAAAGATAAAATCTCCAGGAAGAAGCTTCTCAAAAATTATTGGTAAGGCATTGATTTGGCTACTTGCCATCTTTAGACTTCTGTTATTTTGTTATATAGAACAAATAAATCAAGGTCAATAGATTCCATCAAAAGTAGGTTTATCAAGTGATAAAGAGTTGTTACAATTTTTATAGCAAGTCAACTTAGAAGAAAGAAGATAAGAAAGGGGAATGAAATAAAAATATTTGATAATATTTCTGTTAAGAAAACACCTGAGTTAACTTCATGATTGGCTCAGATGACATCAGATATAAATTTTAATTCAGAAAATAAAACTCTAGGAAGTTCTGTGAATGGTAGGAGTTTTGAATAAGCTAAAGTTTAGATAAGTCTATTGAAAGATATTTTACATCGAAGCCAAGTTACCTCTCTTCAGATATGTCTCATCCCACAACTAAACTCACTTCAAGCAACTCCCAGACTCTTGTCACCCAACAGCCTTCATGCTTGCACACAAAGCCCGGCTGATGCTTCACTCTGCTATTCAGTCACCACGGAAATTCCAGCAGGCTACAGTCAAAGCCCAGACAGGCCAGACGTAAGACTCTCAACAAGTAAGGTAGCTTCCAACTTTAGGAAACATAAGTGCCACGTAACAACGACGCAGAAGCCAGACATGGACCCTCTGAGCCGCCTGATCAGGTCCAGAGCAATGGCTGCTAGGCAGGCAAGTGCAGGTCAGACTCGTCAGTCCCAGTAGCCCACCGCCTCAGCCCAGTGTGAGGTCGAACTCCGAGGGGCCGCGTAAGAGGCGATGCATGCTCATTTGGATGTCGCTCTAACATATTCAACATCGTTGAAATATATTGGGGTTTTGGGGTTTTGGGGTTTTGGGG